TATAAAGGTATGCGAGGGGCAAACGAACACTGAATCGACTTGTTAGCTAATATTTAAATGCTTCAGTTCTGTTTCGAATGTATGGAAGAGAGTGGTTCAGAAGGTTTGGAAGAAGCGCTGCAGAATCGTAAAAACACTTGGTTGAAGGTCTGTAATATAACTTTTTCTATCAGATTTACAAAACTCTATCATAAAATAAAATGCGGTGTATAATTATTTGGTATGTAACTTATAACAGTTTGTAACTGGTATAAATTAGACTCAAATGAATTCAAACAAGCCATCAGTTGGATCCTCCTTTTTAGCAAAGCTATCAGTTACTGCCACTATTATTTCATCGATTCGTTAATTGGGATGGGGTCATCCACTGAAATCAGGTAAAGCGCCGGTGAGGATCTTTCAGATTTACGTTTAGAAACTATGTAGACAGTTTTTTTTTCATGACTGAATTATTCTCTAAGTAAAGCAAACTTTCTTTGTCGCGGAATTTATTTGAATCGCTCCTTGTCGTGCCTACGTAATTGTCTGTACATATGAGTGCTTGCAATCTTGATGGTTTGTAATGCTTGCAAACTGTTGTCCATAACTGTGGTCAAATGTCCCTGTAGATAGCCGTATTAGTCATTGTCACGGCAGTCCAACATGACATATATCTTAACCTTTCGATTTAGATATGCGTTTCATTGTTATTCTGCCCATTCTCCAGCATCTCGTGAACATTAATCGCCTGACTTCCGCCGTCCGGCTAGAGGATTGGTCTATCTTGGATGTTTTTAATTAATTCCGCGAAAAAATTTCTTTAAATTGAGTGTAGAGGTCTGTTACCTATCTTTCATCTCTCGGTTGTAACTTCAGAGGGAGGCAAGTTAACGACGAAAGTATAATTACCTAAACATCTTTGCTGCCAGAGTCTGTTGAGCGGGTTTTTCACATTCATGTCAGGCATACCAGCAATACTATATGAGCTATCGGATGCACCATTTCGTCTTGCTATCATGTGTCAATTATTTTACTCCTTGTGGCGAAGTCACTGAACGGAAAAACGTAGCATATGTGAAAATACGATACAAGGATAAATATGCAAAACGCTGTAGAAAACATGTTCAGGCACTGTGTAAGACAGTATCTATTGATGTTTATGTATTCGATACGAATGTGACTCCTGTGGATCACAAAATGGTCTCCATATTGATCAGTATTTTAATAGGATGTCGACTACGTTTGTATTGCAGACAATTATTGGATCGGAACGAGAACACCGTGCATTACGTATGGATTAAGGTTTGTGCAAGATTACATGTGATGGCAACGACTGTAATGTTTTTAATATAGAGGAGTGTGCTACTATGGCGTTGAAATCAAGTGTGCCTCTCAGGATCTGCACAGCGGCGTTTTCGGAGGCTCCGTGTATGTTGATGCAGTAGCGGGTGTGTTTCTGTGTTCCACCTCATTTTGTTTCTTTAGGTATGAAGCGATGTCGGACCTAGTATATGTCATGGATCACCTTGTGGACAAGCACGGGAAACTGCTGATACCTGGCATTTACGACAAGGTGGCGCCCGTGACCGAGGAAGAGCGCGCTTCTTATCGAAAAATTGATTTCGACGTGGTGAGCTGACTTGTATTTCTCTCTGAAATCCTTGATCTTCAATATGAAACGAACTGTGCAGGCTGAGTATCGGAAAAGCATTGGAGTACAAAGACTACTTCACGAAGACAAGGCTGAGCTGTTGATGCATCGTTGGCGCTATCCGACGCTTTCGCTTCATGGTATGCATATGTTGTTTGTGTTGTCTTTATTGCTGTTTCATGTTTTGTAATGAAGCCGTACCCTAGTACCGTTCACATGTGCTGCTTGTGTATTCCCTGAAATAAACTGCAATTCCGGTGACTATATTACGGGCCTCTAAGGTTGGACAGTGAGAAGGGTCATGGTCATTTCGTTTGCGGACCTGGAAATCCAGGTAATAGTCTGGTCCGTTTTCAACCCTGATATTTTGCTGACAGCCTATCTCTGTTATAATATTTCGATATCTTTTGTTGCAAACTGAATCTAAGGATTACGGCTTCAGGCAGTACGTTTGAGAAAGAATCTTGCAGTCGGTGAGTCTCCTGATTTCTCAAAGATACTGATTTGGGTGTGGTAAGTTCTTGTGTGGTGACAAGCAGCTGACATTGTCTCATGACTTTTACAGCTTGACTGCAGATCTCCATGATATCCAGGCCCGGTTGAGGTGGAAGGTTAAATTATGGGCGCAACATACTAATTAATTATTTCCTTTAATGGGATGAACTGAATGCATGATTGTCCTTATGGAAGCAAAGTGGAAAAGCGGGACCGTTTTAACGGTTTTTGCAACGGAACGAAAAACGCAAGATGAAGAGGCAGGAAGAAACTTACGCCATCATTTCAATGTGGCCGCCTCTATTACGCCATAGCAGTTGTTGATAGATGTATACTTGTCTGAGATCCGTTTCTCATCACAGAAATACCTTCCTTTGTTTAAAACCTTATCATAAATCTAATACCAACGCCAAAGCTTCCAAGAAAATCACAAACAGGTATAAAAATTGAGGCTAATCATTCAGACGGAGTTAGGAAGGGTGGCAGCTATACAAAGCTTCACCAACCCTACATTTTCCTCACCACGTTTAGATCGAAAGTCCTTGTCGATTATGGTCCAGATTCAACAGTGATTGCACATTGCTTAATTCTGAAGTAATCACTTTAAACAATTTAATGAAAAGATATGTATTCTTTCACTTAAAGTCATTGCCTGGATATTCTGCTAACTCCGTTTAGTAGAGTAGCTGCTACTTACGACTAAGTGATTCTGACATACAAGTTCTTTATTTTTAGCACAACTGTGGCAGTATCGACCAATTTAGTATCGATCATCAACAGTAACTATGAGTGTGACGAATTATATTTTTATACCCAAACTATAAAGATGTGCAGGCTTTGTGCAGTTAATCCAGTACTTCTTACTT